CACAGTACCCCCAGACACACACAGCACCCAGACACACACAGTACCCCCAGACACACACATCACCCCCAGACACACACATCACCCCCAGACACACACAGCACCACAGACACACAGCACCCCAGACACACAGCGCAGACACACAGCACCCCCAGACAGACAGCACCCCCAGACAGACAGCACCCCCAGAAACACACAGCACCCCCAGACACACACAGCGCACTCAGGCACACAGCACCCTCAGACAGACAGCACCCTCGCTCACACACACATATTGTATATATGTGTGTGTATGTATGTGTATATATATATATATATATATATATTTATATATTTACAGATATATATATATAATATATAAAATAACCCTCAGTGAGTTAACAGACAAAGAAAATTAGAATGTGACGGCAGATAAAAACACCCTCACACACAGCACCCCTCTTACATACACACACACTGCGCCCCTCACACATACAATACGTCCAAATATATATGTATGTATATATATATATATACACACACACACACACACACACACACACTACAGCACTACATACATTACGCTCCAGATACACGCTAGATCCCTTACCTTATATGCACTCTTAATCCTCTATACACACACACACACACACACACACACACACACAATCTCCTATACACACTCTGGGTCCTTTACACACTAGATCTCCTACACACACACACTGCACCACCTACACACACTACATTCCTTGTCAGCAAACACATACAACATTCTCTAAACACACCCTCTCTGCAACCCCTACACACACTCCGTCACCTATACACACACACTTCAGCCCGTATGCACACACTCGCTGCATCCCCTATAAAACTATGCCCCCTATACACACACTCTCTACAGCCCCTAGCCACACATATTACACCACAAACACAAATGAAATTGACCTATTTACACAATACCACACCACACTCTACACACGCAATCCCACAAGCAGGCTCCAAACACATGCACCATACACTTTCCTGGCCCTTTTGTCCTCTGGTATCCCACTTGTTGAGACACCAGAGACAATTTAAAAGCAAACACAGCGCAAGCATGTTATTAAATTTGCTTGCGCTGCGCAGAACAAATACAGGGCCTTTTTCTAATGCCAGAGCTCTTCAGCGCAGCTCTGCGCATTGAACCAACATGCTCACTTTGAGAGGGGGCGTGCTTGTCATTAGTGATGACAAAACACACCCTCTCTGGCCCCGCCCCCTTCTTAGGGGGCCGCTCTGATTGAAAAATGCCCGGGCCTAATTTTTTTCCCAGTCTGGCCCTGATCAGAGTGATGGTAAAAGGAGAAAATTGTCTCATTTTGCAATGATCTTTCATTACAGTGGGAGATGGGCAATTCAAATGTAATACGTGGAGATCGGGGAGTGAATGTGGCGTAGCGAGATGCATTTGGTGTTTTTAGAATAAAAGAAATTGTAAAATAAAAATAGCTAGAACCCAAAATTTACTAATAAGGATCCAAAACACTAACACCCAGCTAGAAAACAGATACTACATCCAAAATTGATAACTAGCCATGCATTACACATGTCAAAGATATTGTATCCTAATATTTTTTTATACAAAAGTGCTTGATAGCAAAGAGGTTAATTCACTGTAAGAAATGTAACTGAGTATAATTTTGACATTGTTAAGTTGGCTACTTGCTGAATCCTCATGAAAAGGAGTTTTGTTTTGCATACACTGTTGGGTTTGTCTGTGAAATTTATGAGTTTTGGTTTTTGGGGCTAAATCAGGAAACCTATTAACAATCTCCTACTATAAAACAAACATTAAAGTTTGCTGACAAGGTGTGACATGCCTGGGAGAGAGAGCAGTGTGTGCCACAGAGGGGAAGTGGGCTTTAAACTCAACAGCTGCTTCGAAAGGAACTGTTTGATGGCTGTAGTCCCAAATTCAGTTTGGAAAAGACCCTGGGGCATGTAAAAATGTGTAAGCTGTTCTGCATTATAGTGTGATATCTTTAAAAATGTCTGCAGACTTGCAGTCCCTGATAAAGTGCATACTGCACGGAATGTAGGAATGAATATTTAAAGCAGTTATTGCACATGTGTATATTGTATATAATGTTTATCTGTTTTTAATGTCTTTAGCACTGAGCAGTGTTTTTATTTTTATGTATTTAGGACCAAGCACTGTTTGTGTGTTTGAATGTAAGCATGTTTTTGTATGGAGTATGTGTGAGTGAATGTATGGGTGTGTCTGCACGTATTTGCATTTGAATGCAGGCGTGCATTTTTCTGTAGTGTGGTTTTTGAATATGGTGGTATTTTTTTGTAGTGTTGACATTTGGATGCAGGGTTGTATTTGTGTGTAATGTAGGCGAAATGCTGAGATGTATGCACATATACATACATACATATACTTACATATACACACACTGGCACACATTCACAGTCACATAGGTACACACATGCAGTTACATAGAAACAGTCATACACAGACAAACATTGGCACATACAGATAGACACACAGATACAAAAACACATATAGATAAAAACACACACACATACAGGGCACAGAGAGAGACACACAGGCACATACACACATACAGATAGACACACACATAAAGACACATTGATACAAATACAGACACACAAACTGAAACAAACACAGACACACAAACAGATACACAGACACACAAACAGATACACAGACACACACTGACACAAACAGATACACATATACCAACACACATACAGATACCCAGACACACATGTATAAGTGCGTGTCTGTGTGTGTTTGTATAGTGGATAATGGTGTGAGGGAAGGGGTGATGGTGAGGG